GATGTAATGGTGTAGTTAATTAACCGGTCAGCAAAAGCTTATCCTCTTTTCCACTCCCCCAGTAGTTTTCTTTTAGCAGGCTGGCCAGCAGCCTGGCTCAGTTTTGGTTCATGCGGGGTCTGGGAACTCAGACTCCCTCTCCAAACAGGGGCTGCTGCCACCCCACGCTGCTGCGTCTTTATCAGAGGCAGCAGCACAGGGCAACAGGCAGCCAGTCCGTGCCGGGAGCTGTTTTTTAAACTGGCTCCCCTCACAGACAAGCTCCTGCCTTGCACCCCCAGGCAGAGGCAGCCATGTAGAGTGGCAGATTGCTCCTCAGGAGTGAGGCTGGAGCACACTGGCTGCCGGCCCCACCCCTGAGGACTATAGAATAGTTGATAAGTGATGAGGTTACTCAACAGTTCAATTAACTGATATTTAACATCCCTGTTTTGAAATTGAGCATATACAAGTCGATCTGCTTAGGATGGGAAGAACAGAAATAGAGGGATCTATTTTTTTTCTAACATGTTAATTTCTAGTCAGTGCACCCTATTTTAGAAACTCTTCTCAGAAGTTTTATAACATAGGCACAGCATAAAGAATGGGAATGGCTGAATGGTCTGGGGAATTGGGGCAAAAGAAGATGACAGTGTTTAAAGGAATGTTAACTTGAAATTCACATTTCTGTCTAAAAATGTACCTAGTTATAGTCCCAAGAAGCACCTAAGCTTTGATGACAACAGGGAAAGGAAATTGATCACCTCTGAGGCTGGTCAGGGCTGCATTAACCCTTGCAGGGATGGATTCACATCTTCACCACTCCCTCCCTTTCTGTGAAGAGAATGCCATTGCACCTGCACTGCCCTACCCTTCACCATCCCCCATCATCTGTACAGGACTGTAGAATTCTGCATTTTTCCTTGTGCATTGGTACCCTGATGGTTCTGCTATGGTCAAAGCTTTTGCACCTCTATTTGGGGATGCACTGCAAGAGAGCTGAAAAGATGGAATTACCCTTAAAGGAGAATTGGAGTGCCCCACCTAACATTTTGACCTAATGTCAGCACTTGCCAATTCTTCCATTCAAAAACTAAAATGCATCTGGTTCTGCATTTTATACTGTAGCTCCCAATATGACGTTCGTTCTACTTTTCAAAGCATGACTTAAAATCCTTCCTTGAAAAGACTACAAAACATTGTTTCAGCCACCATATCTAGGGAGCCTTTGATGATGCCCACAGAAAATGAGTCATTAACATTTATTATTTTATACCATTATGGTCATTCATCCAGAAAGAAACTTTATCTAAACTGTTAAGATATGCATGCACTAAAAATGAATCATTATGTAACCATAATTAAGGCTATGAATCTGTCATAATTAAGGTCATGATTCATATGACATTTGGGGACCTCCTTGGCTACTTCTGGGACAGGGATGGCAGCTTCTCCTGCTCTGGGGCTGCTGGAACAGTGGCTGGATCACCCCCCTGCCACAGAGCAGCAGTGGGGCTGGAACAGCTGCATATCCTGGCAGCATGCTCTTTGCTATCTCCCCTCACTGCCCAAGTATATTTACTAAAAATTAGGGACAGATTGTGGGTGTTTATCACCTGCAACCTGCCTTTGATTTTTACTAGAAATATCTATTACAGACACATAATTGCTGTAAACCTCATTCATTCTTGCACTAGCTCCTTCTTGTTTGTCTGAAATGTGTGACTTCGTGATTAAAACATTTAGCATGTGGGCTGTGCCCACAAAAGCTCAGGACACCATCTACATGTTTTGTTAGTCTTTAAAGTGCTACCAGACTATTTTGTTACTTTTTAAGTTTTTCCTGTTACAGACTAACTCGGCTACCCCACTGAAACATTTGTTCATGTTACTTCGGCTATCTAAACAGTTGGGCTGCGTCTAGACTGGCATGATTTTGTGCAAATACTTTTAACGGAAAAACTTTTCCGTTAAAAGTATTTGCACAAGAGAGCGTCTATACTGTCATGTGCATTTGCGCAAAAGATTTGCTTTTGTGCAAAAGCATCCATGCCAGTGGAGACGCTCTCTTGTGCAAGAAAGCTCCAATGGCCATTTTAGCCATCGCACTTTCTTGCTCAAGAAATTAACATTGCTGTCTACACTGGTCCTCTTGCGCAAGAATACTTGCGCAAGAGGGCTTATCCCTGAGCGGGAGCGTCTGAGTATTTGCACAAGAACCACTGATTTTGTACATTACAAAGTCAGTGTTCTTGCGCAAATACTCGTGGCCAGTGTAGACAGGCGGCAAGATTTTGCGCAGCCTTGTAGTCAAGCCAATAGGAGTATTTGTTGTATTAGTTCCTATTTGAGTGTTTGAAGGATTTGGTAGATAAATTGTTAGTTTTCTGAGAGAGAAATTGTATTTTTTTTTTTTTTGCTGTGGAGCCACAAGCACATTTCTGAACTCTATGAACTGAATAATAATTGTTCTAATCCAAGACAAGACCTAACATAAGAATGGTCATACTGGGTAAGACCAAAGGTCCACCTAGCCCAGTATTCTGTCTGCCAACAGTAACCAATACCAGTTGCCCCAGAGGGAGGGAACACGTCAGGTAATCATTACATGATCCCTCTCCTGTCATCCATTTCAAGAGAACAAGACAATTTACTTGACTTAAGAGTCTTTGGTGAGGAACCTTGTCAAAGGCTTCTGGAAATCTAATTATACTATATCCACTGGATCCCCCTTGTTTGTTGACCCCACATGTTCTTTGTTGATCAAAGAACTCTACTGAGGCATGATTTCCCTTTCCAGAAACCAACTTTCTCTCAGCAAATTATGTTAATCTATGTGTCTGACAATTTTATTCTTTATTAAAGTTTCAACTAATTTGCCCGGTACTGATGTTAGACTTACCCATCTGTAATAGCCATGGTACTATTACTTTAAAAGATGTGTTTTTGTCTATCTTTTTATCTTGTTCTGTGTGAAACCTTCAGTCTTGAATAGTGCTCCCCCATAGAAGCATTTACTCTAGCCTTGTAAATGGAGAAAAAAATGTATAAACTCAGACTAATCTTGGGACCGATTTGAGGTCCATTGAGTTGAGGACACTTGACTCTTGATGTGAACCACAATAAATATGTTGATTCAATTATAATTTTGTAAATGTTTATCTTTTCATAACATTCTCCTATTGGTTCTGAATGTGTGGTCCATGACCATCTTGCAGGTGGGCCATAGGCTCGGGGCTTGCACTCCCCTGCAGCGGAGAGTCTGTGCTGGTGGTGCTCCAGCCTGACCCTTCCTCTGTGAGGATGGAACACCAGTGCCGGCTTCCTGTTGCAGGGGGCTGAGACTCACAGGTTGAATCCAGCTTGTGGGGGAAAGCATCACAGGAAACCACTTGCCTGGAAGCTCTCCCCACTGCTTCCATTGACTGGAATCATGGGCAATGGGGGCAGCGGGATACATGGAGCCAGGTAAGTGCCTGCCTCATGCCAAGACCCCACACTCCTATCATCCTCATGCACCACTCCTCCCTACCAGCCACAACACTTAGTCTGCTCCTGCACCCTCCCTCACTCCCAGACTCCTCCACCTTTGGCCTGCTCCTGCACTTTCCCTCCCACCAAGACTCCACCCACACACATCCTGCCCTTGCCTGCTGGCTAGACCCCTTCTCCCTGCATCCATTTTGTCATCATGGTTGTTTTACTGATGGTGTGTGGAAAAGTCTATGTTGAGCAGAATGGGCCATGGGCCAAAAATTTTAAGAACCACTGATCCAAATAAAATAATCCAGAATTACCACATTTTTGTCATTCTGATATATTAGCTGAAATTCATCTGAACTTGGTATGTAAAACATTTTGACAAAAACTGCAAAAAGGTACAGCATGAAAATTATCTTCAAACAGCTAGACACATCTAGAGCACTGATTGAATAAGGCAGTCACAGTTACAAAGCTGGAGATAGAAGATTGTATATTACGCTGCTTGTATTGTGCTTGCATGAAAATATACCTCTGAAAATGTAACATATGCAGCTTTCAGTTCTGAGCAGGTAAATTGTTATAGAATCATTGCTGCTTTTTGCTTTTGCTCTGCCGTTAATATTTTGAAGGGCATGAAAGAATTACCGTATATTCCGGCGTACAAGACGACCTCTGATGTTAAAAACCATCCCCCAAAAATCAGGGGTCGTCTTGTACGCCGGGTATACATCCCAGGCGCGCCTGGGATGCCCCCCCGCCGGCTTCCCCCGAGGCTTTCAAAGCTGCTGCGGCTTTGCTCCTGGTGCCTCTGGTCTGCTGGGGACCATCTCCAGCAGACCAGGGACACCGGGAGCAAAGGAGGCGGAGGGGCGCTGGGGTATAAGATGAAACCCTATCTTTTAATTAAAAAGATAGGGGGTCGTCTTATACGCCCAGTCGCCCTATACGCCGGAAAATACGGTAAATCTAATAGCAGAACATTCTTGACCTGTTCTCAAACTAGCCCAAACTACTAGCAACTGTCAGTGGCAGGGATATTATTAGTTACTGGGAAGCCCATTCAGCATTAATGCAAATTTGAATAATTTGTCTAGCTCTGAACTGTGTAATTGTTAGAAATTAAGACAGTACATTTTCTAGAAAGAGTTCCCAATTTGAAACTGTTTCAGCAACCAAAAGTCTGAAATTAGGAAACAGATTGAGAATTAGCCATTGTTTAACTGAAAGATAGTAATCCACCTACCTTGTCATCAGGCAATTCAGTTTTCACAGTTAATCCTCTGACCTTGTGGTTAGAGGAATCATCTCTTTTATTTTCTTCAAGCTATTTTTGAAACTTGAGATGGGCCTCAGCTGCAAATTTAGAACTGTATTTGAACTTTTCTAAAGTTTGAGGCTGTTTAGATCTAAGGTTTTGGATATTGGAGCCATAGCTACATCAGAGCATGATGACAGAAGAAATATTACTTCTAAGAATGAGTTAACTAATATGCATGTATAATATATTGTTAATGCACAGATCTGTGTTTCATCTTTAGATTGCAGCTTCAGATTCACCTCATCTTGGCCAGAACATTCTAATTGGACCTCCTGCTGCTGAGATCCAGTCTCAACCTTTTAGCAATTTTCTCATCTACAACAATGAGCTCCACAACACAGCCAGGTCAGTTTTTTTTTTATGTCACAGAAAAGTAACATAATATAATTTTGCAGAATTCTTCATTATGTGTCTCTGTTCAAAGCTGAAATAGAAGTGATAAGTCACTCAAATGCCAGTTTCATCTAATAAGATTTGACTGTCATATAAATGAAATACAGAATTATGCATGAAAAAATTGTACCGTCTGGACATATTAGCTCAGATTAAAATGGAATGATTCTGTAATTCTTGTGTAATTGTTTCCATCTGACTTGTTTTGTTTAGGAGCCAAATAATAATAATTAAATACAAATAGCCATATTTACCATGTTTTTATTCTTTCTTAATATTTGTATAACCTAATGCATTAAATTATTCTGCACCTTTATGTTGTGGTTGAATTTGAACAATCTGAGTGTGAGCTGCATTCTGTCCCTTCTTTCTTAATCCCTTTTAATGGAAGAATAATTGCTAATGTAATTATCCTCAGTTACCTTTTTCTCTTTGTAGATACATGTTTGTTTAAAATAACTCTAAGCACCTGTTTTATATGATGTCAGTAGAATTAGCTAGTTCTGGTTCAGCTGGCAGGAGATGAACTATGAGCAGTATAGCCAATATCCCTAGTTCCAGAGAAAGAAAAGTTGCATATGGAACACTCCTACTCTCCACTGCTTTGAGTGAAAATTCCTAAGTGAGACCTGCACAACGTTCCATATGGCTCACATTCCAGTTTACTCTCATTTTAAATATCTTACATATTGTCCTTTTAGTAACATTATCCTGTACAGGTAATTTATTTCTGTCTGCTTTGGCTTGGAAAATTAGCATAAAACATCCAGAAGGAAATTGTAGTATTTAGCCAGGCTCTTAGTTTTCTTGTGGGCTATCTTGCAGCGCAATTTGTGAATGTTTTTCAGTTACAGTTTTTTGAAAGACACGTCAGATATATTGTGTTAGAAAAGAGACATGACAGCATTCATCTTAGTGCAGTAAAAAGTGGCCTGGATTTCAAACTTGACTTCCATTTTTGGAAATACAATTTTGTATCTGCTGTGAATTGTCAGGAAAAAGCTTGCATGTCCTGTGATCAAAACCGGTGGACGTAATTTCTTGTATATACAAAATATACCCCGATAATGGAGGCCTGATTTAAAAATCAAGCCCATGTTATTCTGGGTCAGAGGCGAACAAATTTTGTAGAAGATGACTGGACGATCTAAACATTAGGGCTGTTGTTTACTTCCCCGTCTATGTTCTTGAAGGAGTTGTGCTGTGCTATTGGTTCTGTAGTTTCTTGGTTTTGTATGTGTCCCCTTGGCAACAAATATGAAATAATGTATTGCTGTGGTGTTCTAATGAACTGTACATATGGCAGCCCTCTACTTTGCATTGTGCTTTTCTAATATACTTTACTGATCTTGAGTTGAATTCATTGCTGGTGTAACTCACCTGCATTTGGAGATGATTTGGCTCTTAATTCAAGGTGTCTAATTGACACTTGTTACCAGGAGAGAAGATTATGGATACCCATTCACATTTCTGATGTCATTCCAAATGCCATAAAGGAGAACTATTCAATGTGATGTGCAGGGTGGTAGTGATATGAGTTAATATAAAAGGGAATACAGGATTATGCATGAAGAAATATATCATGCACAGCACTCTCAATTCCCAGTAGGTCTTTAATTGACTTCTGTTAATGGTAAGAGTTGTGTGTTTATGACTGTGCCTCATGCTGAGTATTTATCCCTAATCGACTATAACTGAAACTCTGATTTATTAAAATAAATGGTTGGGTGAGGGGATGTATGTCAGTGCTCACCCTGAAAAAAAAATTCCATTCTGTGTAAAGGTTCTGTGTCCATTTTTTTTCTGTGAAGTCCCACCATGGTATTCTAGGCTGTCTAACCATTTTGTAATTAGTATGTGAAGGTCATACAGTAAAATTGTTTTGTGGCAAAAATGGCTATCTGTAAAATGGAATCCCTGTTAAATTTAAAACAGCACTAATCTTACTATAGTACACCTGGTCTATAATGAACCTGTTGGGATCCAAGCCTTTGGTCTGCTATAGCAAAAGGAAAATAAAAAATGAAAGGGCAGTGGTGTTGGGTTTGGAGCTTCAAGCTGTCTTCCCTGGTTGTCTGTACCTGGGGCTTTGGCTTCAGCCTGGGAGTTGCAGAGGAGGGGAAATGTTGAGGGTCACTCTTTAATTTCTGTCTTTGATCCCAGCATATGAGGCTAGATAAAAATGGTGCATGTGTGTGCAACATCTCCCCCCCCCCCCCCCCTTGTTTTGTAGTAGGGATCCAGGAACTGGGTTCATTATAGCCGAAGGCTCATAATAATGAAGGGTGTAATAGTGAGGGTATACAGTACTGTGCAATCACTGTACAGCACCAAAAGGTTTGTGTGGATGATTTATTGAAACTACCAGTTATGCTTCATTGCTGATAATTAAGGCATTCCACTGGAAAGTGGATTAAAAAAATGGAGAAGTTACGTAACTAACAATGGTTATAACCCCAAATTGGGTAGCTTCCTAACTTCTCCTGATTTGCTACACAATAAAAAGATGAGGAAAAAATCAAAACTCCCCAGAATCTTGGGAGTAACATACTAGATTGTATCTGTTTTGAATGAACAATAAGTGCATGTCTCAGTTGACGTCTTCAAAAAATACGGTATTAACCACTTAGTGCACTTGATCTGTGTATAAATGACTTAACTTTTTGGTGGTTTCCATTCTTATTCCATATAGATGTTAGAAAATGGTTAATTCTTTCTTACATTCATCTATATAATATGGAGCCTTTGTAAATTGCAATCTTCACGTTTTTACATTATAAATCTTCAAGGTATGATATCACATTGTTTTTAGCTTATGTGCAGTATCAGAATTTTCATGGAGGCAAGATTTGATCTATTGTATTTCTAAGGTAGCTGCACCTTAATGTATCAGTGCCTCATCCAAAGGAAAGTTCTTGTGCTTTAATTAAGATTATATTGGAGATTACATTGGTTCAAATCCTGGCTCTCACTGGCTTCAATGAAGTTAGGATTTCACTGAGTATATTTTTAATGCCATGGGGTTGTACATCGAAGAAGGAGAAAATAAAATATTGACTAGCTGCTTAAGTGACCACCGTGAAGTCTATACACTGAATGAGACAGGGATCTTATGGAAAAATTGTATGTGATCATCTAATTAAAGACACCTTTATATACATCAGGGGTCTGAATTAAGGTAAACTAGGCAACCTTCATTGTGCCAAATAGTCACTCTTTGAATGATTGATTTTACATACCTAATGCTCATTTAACATAGGGGTTTTGAGTGTAACTTCCTAGGTTTAAAAGAAAAAACAAACTGGATCCCCCCTTCCAATTCCATCATGACATACTGTAGTGACACCCACATGGGTTATCAGCAGGGTTGGAACCTTTAGATTCACCAACTGGACTTCTGCCTCTTGACAGGCATGACAAGGCTTAGGCTTTCTGGTCTGGGTCCCAGTGAGTCTAACAGTGGTCCTGCTTCGTGGTCCCCCTGAAAACTGCTTGCAGCCCCCAGAGACGCCAGCCCCCTGGTTGAGAAGCACTAGTGTAGAGGACTTTGTGTTGCTCCTTTGTCTACCCATGGGGTACATCTAAACTACATCCCTTTTTTGATAAAGGGATGTAAATTATATGTATCGAAATTGTAAATGAAGCCGGGATTTGAATGTCCCGTGCTTCATTACATAATGGCGGCCATAGCTTTTTTTTCAAAAAGCCACTTTTCGGAAAAAAAACAAGATGGGGATCGTTCTACAGAAATGCCCCATTTTGAAAGATCCTGTAAACCTCATGGAGAGTTACAGGATCTTTCTAAATGGGGCATATCTGTTGAATGATCTCCATCTTGACAATGGTTTCTGTTTTTTTGAAAAGAGGCTTTTCGGAAAAAAGCCATGGCCGCCATTATGTAAATGAAGCACAGGAAATTCAAATCCCGACTTCATTTATGTACTGTATTTCGATACGTCTAATTTACATCTCTTTATTGAAAAAAGGGATGTAGTTTAGATGTACCCAGAGTACGAGTGGCAGAACTGGTGAATTTGTATAGTGTATTCACTTAGTACTAACAAGCAGAATTCTATGTTGATAATGAAATACTGAGGAAGTATTATCGCCAACCCTTGCACATTTTGGTAAATTTTCATAAAATCTTGGCTCTTGAACTCATGAATATAAAAGAATCGCAGCTTTCATTAAAAAATAAGTTTTATGGTTGTGGAGCAAAGCTTGAAAACACCAACCGTAGAGGCCACAAGATCACAAGACAAATAAGATTGTCAATTTCACAACAGGGGAGGAGGGGGAATTGGTTTGTGATTTTCTTGAGTGGTTCATGGTTGGGAATATTTGGTATTATAAGTGGAAGGGGCATATTTCTTTTTGTTACAGTCTGTATTGCTTACATAAACTGCACCCATTCCACCAGTGGGAGCAATTTTACTGCAGAGGAATCCATCCCTAAGGAGGGCCAGCATTGGTACCACTGGCTCCTTCTCTTGTCAGTTGCACCAGAGGATACAAGTTCTGTCGGGCTCCAGAGCTGCCCCACTGGCAGAGGCTCACAGGAAGTGCGTTGAAGCAGACTGTGGTAGGCTAGCACAGAGCTTGTGGGTATCTGGCTCCATTGCACTACCATTCTTGGTGGATTTTAATGCTTCCAGGGGCCCTATGTGCAAATAGAGCCAGAAGTTGGGAGGATTTTAAATCTCTTTGCAGTAGGAAATGATGGTTGGACTTAATCTGTCATGTTTACAGTGTTAACAATATTGTTATATTTCCCTTGTTGAGAAATGGAATGTTCCTTTATTTGAAAACAAACCCACCATACCCTACAGACATGGTTAAAAATAACTGCAGGAATACTATTGGAATAGGTATAGGTAGCGTTTTGGGTCACTGCAGTTGACTCAGAGAAAAGAGGATCAGCTTTGCGAGTTTACATTTTATCTTGGAGACAA